TAAATCTTACCACACAATTTCTTGAGTTAGACACAAATGGAAATATGCAACATGTACTGCAGCTTTGTCTTCTATTTATCAAAAAGTACATCTGAAATATGGACAACATATGCTATTTTCTTATGATCTAATAAATTACTTGAAAGGAAAAAATTTTAAGATGTCCGGATCAGAGTATAATACACTGCACAGGTGAGTGATTCAAAGTGAATAGCGCTTTGGCTATTCGGGGTTTTTGGTGATTCCATATGAATTTCATCAATAATTGTTCTATTTCTTTGAAGAATGCCATTGAGATTTTGATTGGAATAGCATTGAATCTGTATATTGCTTTTGGTAGGATGGCCATTTTAATAATGTTTATTCTTCCAATCCATGAGCAGGGGATGTCTTTCCATTTCTTTGTGTCTTCTTCTATTTCTTTTAACAGTGTTTTATAGTTTTCTTTGTATAGGTCCTTTACCTCTTTTGTTAGATTTATTCCCAAATATTTGATTTTTTTTGTTTCAATAACAAAAGGGGTGGTTTTTTTGATTTCTTCTTCTTCAGATTTATTGTTTGTGTATAGGAAGGCTACTGACTTTTGCGTGTTGATTTTGTATCCTGCCACTTTACTGAACTGACTGATGAGTTGAATTAGTTTTTCTGTGGAGATTTTGGGGTTCTCTATGTATATTATCATATCATCTGCAAATAGTGATAGTTTGACTTCTTCTTTTCCTATTTGGATTCCTTGGATGTCTTTCTCTTGTCTTATTGCTCTGGCTAGGACTTCCAGTATTATATTGAAAAGCAGTGGTGAGAGTGGACATCCTTGTCTTGTTCCAGATCTTAATGGAATTGCTTTCAGCTTTTCACCATTGAGAATTATACTGGCTGTTGGCTTCTCATAGATGGCCTTTATGATGTTGAGGTATGTTCCTTGTATGCCAAGAATTTCAAGGGCTTTTATCATGAATGGGTGTTGCACTTTGTCGAAAGCTTTCTCAGCATCTATTGATATTATCATATGGTTTTTATATTTCTTTTTGTTGATGTGTTGGATAACGTTGATTGATTTTCGGATGTTAAACCATCCTTGTGCCCCTAGAATGAATCCAACTTGGTCGTGGTGAATTAACTTATGGATACATTGTTGGATTCTGATAGCTAAAATTTTATTGAGGATTTTTGCATCAGTGTTCATTAGGGAGATTGGCCTATAGTTTTCCTTTTTTGTGTTGTCCTTATTCGGTTTTGGTATTAGTGTAATATTGGCTTCATAGAACGTGTTTGGTATTGTCCCTTCCTTCTCAATTTTTTGGAAGAGTTTCTGAAGGATAGGCACTAATTCGTCTCTGAATGTTTGGTAGAATTCATTTGTAAATCCATCAGGTCCTGGGCTTTTGTTTTTGGGGAGGTTTTTGATTACCATTTAAATTTCGCTGCTTGTAATTGGTCTGTTTAGGTATTCTATTTCTTCTTTATCTAGCATTGGGTGATTGTAGAGTTGTAGGAATTTGTCCATCTCCTCTAGATTGTTGAACTTGTTTCCATATAACTGTTCATAGTAGTTACTGATTATTCTTTTGATTTCTGCTGTGTCCGTTGTGATTTCTCCTCTTTCATTTATGATCCTGTGTATTTGTGCTTTCTCCCTTTTTTCCTTTGTGAGCCTGGCTAGGGGTTTGTCTATTTTATTTATTTTTTCAAAGAACCAGCTCTTGGTTTCATTGATCACCAAAAACCCCGAATAGCCAAAGCTCTACTGAAAAAAAAAGAAGGAAATGGAGGCATCAAACTCCCAGACTTCAAACTATACTACAAAGCCATAATCATCAAAACTGCATGGTATTGGAACAAGAACAGACATACAGACCAATGGAATTGAATAGAAAATCCAGAAATAAACCCACAGATTTATGGTCAACTAATCTTTGACAAAGGAGCAAAGACTATGCATTGGAGCAAAGAAAGTTTGTTCAATAAATGGTGCTGGGAAAACTGGGTCGCTACATGCAAAAGAATGAAGCTTGACCACTACCTCACACCATACACAAAAATCAACTCAAAATGGATTAAAGAACTAGACATAAGACCTGAAACCATAAAATACATAGAAGGAAATATAGGCGAAACACTACGGGATTTGCACATCAAAGACATCTTTACAGACACATCACCCAAAGCAGTGATAGTGAAGACAAAGATAAACAGCTGGGACTACATCAAATTAAAGAGCTTCTGCACAGCAAAAGAGACAATAACAAAAACAAAGAGAAACCCCACCAACTGGGAGAACATTTTTGCACCCAACACTAATGATAAAGGACTGATCACAAAAATCTGCAAAGAGCTGATGAGACTCAGCAACAACAAAGAAAATAATCCAGTCAAAAAATGGGCAGAAGAGCTAAAAAGAAACTTCTCTAAAGAGGAAATGCAAATGGCCAACAGACATATGAAAAAATGTTCAACATCACTTGCAATCAGGGAAATGCAAATCAAAACTACCATGAGATACCATCTCACACCAGTGAGAATGGCACATATTAAAAAAACTAGCAACAACAAATGTTGGCGAGGATGTGGAGAAAAAGGAACTCTTCTGCACTGTTGGTGGGAGTGCAAACTGGTCCAACCGCTATGGAGAGCTGTGTGGAGATTTCTGGACCTACTAAATATAGAGCTTCCATATGATCCAGCAATTCCACTCCTAGGTATTTACCCAAAGGACACAGAAACATCAATTCCAAAGAGCACCTGCACCCCTATGTTTATAGCAGCACTGTTTACAATAGCTAAGCTTTGGAAACAACCCAAATGCCCAAAAGTAGATGACTGGATCAAGAAGATGTGGTACATATATACCATGGAATATTACTCAGCATTCAAAAAAGGTAAACACATGCAATTTGCAGCAACATGGATGGTGCTGGAAGGGATCATGCTCAGCGAAATAAGCCAAAAAGAAAAAGAAAAATACCGGATGGTCTCACTCATAGCAGGAATCTAGAAAACTTAAATAAGGGACCAGGAAAATGAATATAAGAAAGTGAAAATCAAAATCAACAAAAAACTATGAACCAGAGACACTTTTTGGGGGTTGGGGGGCGGGAGGGGAAGGATTGGGGTCAGAATGGGGTGTTTGCAATTGTATGGGGGAATATAAAAATAAAATTTAAGATTAAAAAAAAACAAAAAAAAACAAAAAAAATAAAAAGCACCAGCCATGTTGTAAATATAATTCTGTGAGCAAAAGGGATAACTATAGAAATATTTTTGAAGGACATAAATACTCAAATATTAATCATGCAGAATTGAGTAGTATGGTGGATTTAAATCTTCAGACACACACATAACTATACACATTCATTGTAACATATTAACCTATATTAAATCCTCCATTCTTTGTCAAAGAAAAAGCATTATTAATGAGAAAGAATAAATAAATGTTATTTAAAAGAATATAAAAAAAATAAAAATTAAAAAAAAAAAAAAACAAAAAAAAACAAAGTGAATAGCGGTGAGAGGTATTGCTCCTACTTGAGAACAAAGGGAAATATCAGATGTGAAATAGGAATCAGAAATAAATGAAAGAAATTCACATTTGATACTATTTTCTGCAAAAAAGAAGATGAGAGTAGAATACACATATATATGGTATATATTCCCAGGAAGACCCCCTGGCACAGGCATCACACTGGATTTGCCTCAGAAGCACAACATAGAGACTGAAGCTGCCTGTGGAGCCCTTCAGAGCCCAGCTGGAGCAGAGAAGCTCATCACACACTCTTCCTGGTCCTCAAGGACTGATGTTAACTCACTTACATGTAGGATGGCCTTTCAGTAACAGCTGATACTACAGTCAAAGTGAATAGAAGTGAGGAGAGTTATAATAAACTACACTGGTTTGGTTTTTTCCTGGCATTTCTTGTTATATTAGTTTCAGACAACTGTATTCAAAAATTCTATGCCATTAATTTCCTGGTAACTAAGAGAAGTGATGTTTTATAGGAAAACTGGTGACCCTAATTCCATGACAGACAGGAATTTAAGTTCTCTCATAGCTATGCTTTCATCGAAAAAGATGATAGAATCCCATATATATTTGTGACATATAAAGTATGATAATGATAATAACTAACTCATCAACCATTTTTTATGAAAAAATAAGAAGGGGGGTTGTTTCCTTTAGAGCTAAGAAAGCAGTCCTACATTTAGCAACATCAAAAGGGTTCAATTATAGACATGACAATTACTCAGTAATGTATTTTTTCCATTCCCATCAATTTTATCCACCTTACTAATTCATATTTGAAGAAGTAGATGTATAGCATGATATGGAAACATTTTGCATTGTAATATAATATATAATTGAAATTTTGTTTTACTGTATTGATAATTATCTGTGATTATAAGGTCATATTAAGTCATTGTAATTATTAAAATATATCTCTTGGTGAAGAGTAGTATGTGTGATAATCATGTTAGTTTGGAATAAGGGAGGCTTTGTGTACACTGAGCTGAAGAAGAAAGGATATGAAGGAGGAGAATAAAACAATGTGCTAGAGAGCCCACTGCCTATTAACATCTTTATTGTCAGGAAAAGAGTTTAATGTAGTGAACACAAAAGATGACACACTCGAAACTGAAAAGCATTGTTATCTTATTTCCTCAGTTTGTTTGCCATAGGACTAGCAGGACATGACTTTTAACTACAACAAGCAAAAAAAAATTGATATGATATATGTCATCTGAGAAAAATTATTCAAAAAAATCCATATGGCTTCATTAAGTGAATAGTAATATCTAAATCTTTCTGATTTCAGATTGCAATAAGTTTGGGCAAGTAGGAAAACCACAAGGGAAAAGCTGTTAGAGATCAGAAAGAACAAAAAGTTCAATAAATTGAGTTATATAAATTGAATAAGAGAAATTGAAGTCCAAGAGGAAATTCCATGATGCAAAATATAAAACAAGTTTTACTTCTTACTTTGTCAATTAAATCCAATTTCTGATTATTTGTCTCTAATGTCTAAAATTCTTGAACCTGAGGACAATTGTCTTTTTGTAGTTTTCTTTACAATGAATGTTGTCAAGGCACCCTTTATATCTTTGTTCCTCAGACTGTAGATGAAGGGGTTCAGCATGGGTGTGACCACAGTATACATCACCGAGGCTATTGCACTTGAGCGTGAGCTGTGGGGAGCAGCAGAGCTAAGGTACACTCCAAGGCTTGTATAATAAAATAAGGAGACAACTGAGAGGTGAGATGCACAGGTGGAAAATGCTTTATATTTGCCCTGAGCAGATGAGATTCTACGTATGGAGGAAACTATCTTAGAGTAAGAGAAAAGGATACCAAAGAGGGAACCACCACCCAGTAAGATAGACACAAAATATATTACCACATTATTGAGAAAGGTATCAGAACATGCCTGTTTGACAATCTGATTGAGTTCACAGAAAAAATGTGGGATTTCCAAATTTGTACAGAAGGACAGCCGTAATAACATTAAGCTTTGTATTAAGGAACACAGACCACTGATGATCCAGGACACCAGAACCAACAGCCCACACAGCTGGGGGTTCATGATGACTGTGTAGTGCAGGGGGTGGCAGATGGCCACAAAGCGGTCATAGGCCATTACAGTCAAGAGAAAGATGTCCAACCCTGCAAACAGTATGAAAAAATGTACCTGCGTGATGCATCCTTTGTAGGTTATGGCTTTGCTTTCTGTCTGGATGTTCACCAACATCTTTGGGACGGTGGTGGAGGTGAAACAGATGTCAGCAAAGGACAAGTTAGAGAGGAAGAAGTACATGGGTGTCTGGAGGTGGATGTCTGAGCTGATGACCAGGATGATGAGCAGGTTTCCAAACACAGTGATCAGGTACATGGTGAGGAAAAGCCCCAATATGAGGGGCTGGAGTTCTGCTGCCTCTGAAAATCTCAGGAGAAGAAATTCCGAAATTTGTGTATCATTGACTGGTTTCATGTAGTGCAGGTGACTTGCAGGAAAAAGGAAAATGGCAAGACTTATTTTCACAAACTTCTGCTATTAATGTACGAAATGCCTCCATTTATATTTTTGTAAGAACTTTATTATAATGTGTATGGTTTCCTTTTGGGGATCCTCAGTATGCCTCTGATACAGAATTTTTGTACCAATCATTTGTTTTTTCCCTGTGGATCTTGTGCTATATGGTTTTGCTAATAGATTATTTTATATCTGCAATACAAATTGAATGCTGACTTTGTTTTAAGCACTATCTAGGCAATGAGTTTAGGGCATTGTAAAACAAAATTCTAATTCAATGGTGGAAAAAGGATGTACAAGCACACAATAAAATTATGTAACATTCTACAAGTTGGCACGTGATATGAAGAGTAGGAAGCCAAATATACATAAAAAAAAGAGTGAAAAGAGGATTTAGTTTTTCTTGGGTATTTAGATAAGACTTGTTGACCTGTAGATATGCCACATTTGAACAAAGACCTCAGGTCAGAGAGAGAAGGGGGATGCAAGTTTTTGTTGGGATGTGTGTCCAACAGAGGGAACAGCCAGGGAAAATACCTGAAAGATGGTTGTTTCAAACACTCAAGTCAAAAAATGTGAAGCCACCTGCACAACAAAAGAAACCATCAATAAAACAAAAAGACATACTACTGAATGGGGGGGAAGGGAGAGAAACAGGAGGAGGAGGAGGAGCAATGGAGAAGAGGAGAGGAGATTGAAAAAGAGGGAGAGAGGAGAGAGAGATAAATTAAATGAAAAAAGAGGAAAAAGGTTTTAATAATCTAGGTGGTTCCTCAGAGACTGGGGTCTGCTGTACTTTTCAACCCTGATTATACTTCCCTGATACCCAACAACAGGAAAAAGAATAAAAACAAATTGTCAAGTTAAGAAATGGTGATATTTTTATCATCTACTTATGATAAACACCTTACATATTCTACACCCAAGAGAAAATGGGCTGTGTTTCTGGGTGTCAGCACGAGTGAGATTTGGGCAGGTCTTTCTGTGGTGAAGTCTGTCCTGTGCATTGTAAGATATTTGGTGCATCCAGGTCTCCCCTGCCCTTGTTGTGAGCGTGTAATGTCTGTGGACATTTCTGTGCCTCTGGAGGACAAAGTTGCCCACTTAGAAACTCTCTTTGAACTTAATATCCACATATTTTCTGAACATTGCTATAACAACAATTTAGTGATGATAACAATTTAATGATATAAAAATGTTCAACATTGTATTTCACACTGTGAAATATTACACAGCCATTGAAGTATTTAATCAAGCAATAAAAAAACAGGTATTTCTTGCCTTAGGGTAAAGGTAAACCATCTCTTAGATGACAACAGGTAAGTGTTCTTGGCCTCATTTCTCTCTCCTGATGGTCTAGTGGGTTGCTGTGCTCACCTGGACTAGATCTCTGTGAAGGTCTTGTGTGGAGATCTGAATTCCTTATTGGATGGAAGTGATAGAGACCTGAGCTCTATACCCAGATAAGACAGTGGGGAGGAGTGAACCATCTGTCCCCTAACCAACACAAACACACACACAACAAAAGCATGCCCCTTTCAGTCCAAGGTTATATATGCTGGGAGTTGGCTTATGTGTTTACAAATCACTCGCTGTATCTGCTCATTAGTCACATTTCCTCTTGTTACTCCAACCTCTATGCACACAATTCCCCTGTGGAAATTCATTCTGGACAGCAATAGGAGGTTTCCATATCCCCAAAAGGTCAGGTTAGAAATCAAATTAATTCCATTTTTTTCATTCCTTTATGAAATTGCCTTCTTTTTAGATCTCTTAATTTCCTAGTGCATTTCTCTCTTCTGGGTTAAAATTTTCTAACCAAGTCCAAGACTGAGGAATGTGTCTCGATTAGGTCCCTCTTGTCTTCAAAGCTTTGGCTCATGCTGGCAACATTATTCCTGGTATTCAGACAGTTGCTGTCATGATTCACAACAAGGAATAAACCCGAGCTCTTGTGATAATAGAACACTCCACTGATCTCATAAGCTTCATGACCCATGCTTAAAAGATGAGAAACTTCTTACTTCTGTCACATTAATAGCTGTAATTTAGCCCCTCATTATAGTGTTTATCAATTATATATTACATAGGTTGATTTGTCCAACTATAACCAGACATTAGAATTGTATAAGGACTCTGTGATTTAATTTTTAAGGACATACATTCCCTGTGAAGCACATTCCCTGAAGTACTCTATCCTCAATGGCAGACTGGGGTCTTGGAGGGGTTTAGTCATCAGCCCAAAGTTAAATCCATCAAAGTGAAGGCCCCTAATTGCAGTTCTATAAGGATACTTCCAGGACTTAAAGTTTGGCCAGTGCTTCTCAACCAGAAATGTTTTTTTCTTTTTTTCCTGTGGGGAATATTTGACAGTGGTTGATTGGCTACTGTTGAACACCTACAATCCATAGGTCACTGGCTACCCAGATCCCAAACTCTTTTATTCTGTCACAACTCTCAAGAGTTAGAAGGTGAAAAAAAAAAACAAAAAAACAAAACTATGTAGACCAGAAATGACCCTACTACAAATGCATGATCTGTGGCATCAGATACTGCAAGCCAGGGATTTTAACGTCTCGAGCATTCCAGCATTTCTAACAAGTTCCTGGTGATGTTAGTGCTGCAGTTCCTGGTCTGTGGACCACTCTTTGAGCAGTAAATCTATGCTCCTGTGTCAGAGTCAGGTTAATAGTTTCAGGCCTTCTATACAAAAGCCATTTTTGCATGTAATTTTGAACGAAGAGTGTATTTGCTCACATCAGTGGGGGATTCTTTGTTTATTATCTTTTAGATAACAGTCCTTGAGTGACAAAAATTAATGCTGTCGTAGAAATTCTGGCATTTCACCCAGGCAGAGGAAGAACAAGGAATGGTGAGGTCAGGAAAAGCTTTATTACTCATGCATGAGGTCCCAGACCTGGGTAGCCCTGTAAGGTCTGAGTAAGGGTTTAAAGACAAAGGGTTCCTTTTATACATAACTGTCTTCATATTTGTTACATTGATAGCATTGTTTTTCAGCTGGCACACCATTTGCAGCAAAGTCCCCAGACAAGGAAGGGGAGGACAGGCAAAGGGGGAAAGATACAGACATCAGGAGATGCCCTTGGAGAGACAGACCAGCTTGACTGGCTACTGTATCCTTTTGAAATGCACCTTTGCTTAGATAGGAGTGTTGAGGCCCTGGCCAAGAATCTTTTTTTTTTTTTTAAGATTATTTGTTTATACATGCATTGAGTACAGTCAGAGGCACGGGAGGGTGAGAGAATTCGCCAGAGCCAGAGCGGAGAGAGCAGAACAGGCAGAGTGACAAAGTACACTGCTGAGGGGGAGCAGTGGTAGGCAGGAGATGTCTTTGTGCCATGTAGCTTCGCAGCCCAGCGCTGAACCACTGCTCCACCAGGGCAGGCCCCTGGCCAAGAATCTTTAAAGGGAAAGAGCTGTAAGTAAGAAAACTTGTTAATTATGCCTGCATTGGAGTGTTCATTTCACCTGGGCTGGAAGGTCTGCTGGAATCTTTATTATATTTATTTGCTCAATAATGTATTTTCTCATCAATAGCTTCATGAAAAGAAAACTGTAGCAGGCACAATAAAAGTCCCAAAATATGAGCAAATCTTAACCCCCAAAACTTTGTATATGACTTTTCTAGCAATGAAAGATTAAGTAGATGGCATAAGACTGCTAGTATTTAAACAAGAAGGTAAGATTAACTCATGGAATCCTTTAATAGATTCATCCCAGCAACATGAACTTTCTTTAGCTGATCATTGTGTTTTTTTAGAGGAAATATTTCCATCAAAAGGAGGAAATGAGAAGGAATATGAAACATATTGAGGTTATTGGAGAATGGGTAACTAAATCAGGTCTGGCAAGCTGCTCAGCATTACTCCCCAGGTGTGCCCAGGCTTGTTCAAGCACATCCATCTCTGGAAACCAGCTGAAACAAAGTTGGCCTGCCACAACCATGAGGGATGAAGCTCAAGTAATCAATGCTCAATTAACTCTTCATATGGGTATTATTTGATGTGGTATTGGAAATGTGAGCAGGGTCCTTGAGTTATCTCTGGAAAATTTTTAGAGTTCCCCTTTTCAATGGAACAAAGACCTTTGCATGACACAAGCAAGCAAGGTTACAATTAAAAAAAAAACAGTTTTATTAGGGAAAGAAGGGAAAAGAGAGTCACCTGTGTAGTCACAGGTGGGCAGGAAAGGTGCATCTTGCCAGTGCAGAAATTGTACTGATACAGTGGTCTTCTTTTGGGGAGGGGCTCATTCCTTTGTGGAATTATTATCTAATGTTAAGTTAATTACTTCTAGAGTGTGACTAGGTTGATTTGTAAGAACCAGTGAAATCTACAATGGCCCTCTATCTTCCTATCCCCACTTCTGCTCTGCACCTCCAGATGCTTTTTAAAGCAGTCTGACACAAGCTATAGCAGTTGGCCCTGAGGATTTTTCACTTCTATAACTGATTTAACTACTGAACAGGCAAAGAAACCTCTAAGCAAATGGTTGCAAAAGTCCCCTGAGAAAAAGCACCCCAGTCCAGGTGCAATTAATATTCCAATGCAGGCATAATTAACAAGTGCTTACTTGCAAGTCTTTTCTTGGAAAATTCCTGGCCAGGTCTCAGTACTCCTATCTAAACAAAGTTGCAGAAAACTGGTCAAGCTGGTCTGTCTCATCAAGGCCATCTTCAGATAGTTACATCCCCCTTAGCACTCCCAAACTCCCCTGTCCTTGTGAAGCCCTGCATCAAATAATTGTGCCTATTGTAAAACAATCTACAAATGTAACAACGATGTATAAAAAGAACACTCTGTCTTTAGTCAAGGCTCAGATATAACAGGAACTTCCTG